CACCCTCAAAACCCTGTGGGAATTATTCCATAGAAATAAGGATATATGTATTAAAATGATTGTAAACGGCCAAAATTGGCTAATTTAACAACTTTGCTTTGATTATATGTGCCTAAATACCCTTCTAAATATCAAATATTAATTTCATATTAAATAAAAACATATTCATGTTTTCATGTGACAATGACCTATAAAATATTTTCTTCTGTAACAAATATTAAGAATTTAGAGAAATAAAATATTTACTCAAGCCTCAGGTTTTTAGAGTCTGGTAAAAGATAATATACAATAGCTAAACAGATGCTTTAATTTTAAACATTTTGATTCAGTGAATCCTCCCCAGATTTTGTAAGAAAAATGTAAATGGTTACAACCAGTGTCTCTGATAAAGGCCCCATTTCTAAAATATAGAGAGAATTAAGTCAAATTGATAAGAATATAAGTCATTCCCCAATTGATAAATGGTCAAAGGATATGAACAGGCAGTTCTCAGATGAAGAAATTAAAGCCATCTATGGTCACACGAAAAAATGCTCTAAATCACTATTGATTAGAGAAACGCACATCAAGAAAAATGTAAATGGGGCACAGCCAAGATAGAAGACTAGCAGGAAGAAGTATAGCCAAACTCTACACCACAGATTCTCCTAACAAATCTAGAAAATGTACCAGACCAAGTACTGATCAGAAAATCCAGCCCTGGTCAGTACAGGAAGACAAAAGGAGAGGTCTGCAGAGACTGGGGTCAGGGATCTAGCCACAAATGCCAGCATGAAGCATTCCAGTGCAGGGAGAGGCTGTGCACTAGGGTAATAAGAGATCCCAGATCTAGCACAGAAAAGGCTAAGCTTGTGCAGGGCACAGGAATAGCTAACAAATGGCAGCTATGTTACTTAATATTCAAATCTAGGTCAAAGATACTGGGCAGATCTAGGAGATGTCCTATGCCTCAGGATAGCATTCCAAGGTAAGGTGCTATCTCAAGCCCTTGGCTATGTATCTAGCAAGGAGCAAGTCTGGAAGTAAGCAACAGCTAAGTGGCTCTCACACCAGAAGCAGAGCAGAGTCTCAGTTACAACTTCCAGGGAGGTTTAAAATCTGTAAGGAAATAACCAGGGCAGGCATTCCAAACTAAAAGGGATCCTGGATTTCTGTTACTGTGAACCAGAAGAGCTTTCCAGCTAGCTGCTAGAAGCTAAGTCCAACAGCAATCTCCTGGACCTCTAACTGGGGCAAGCTCATAGCTATGTTACTCAAATCCAAATCCAGATCATGAATTTGCAAAGTTCAGCCCAGGATGGTATCAATTAGACTTTGCCCTGGATCAGACCACTCTGGGACTACTGAATACTAGTAGGTCTCCAGCTTGAGCTTGCCCAGAGATCCTGAAATAACACAATATTCAATACCTTCAAGAAAGCAGCAAAATGACAAGTCTAGACATTCCTTCTAGAACTGTACAGACCTGGTGTTTACATAAAATGTGAAAATAGGAAGTAGGCTGGAATAATAAACAAAAAAGAATACTGCCATGAAAGATTATTATGGTGATCCAACCATTTTGGAGAACAATTTGGAACTATGCCCAAAGGGCTACAAAAATGTGCATACCCTTTGATCCAGCAATAGCACTTCTAGAGCTATATCCCAAAGAGATCAAACAAATGGGAAAAGGACCCACATGTACAAAAATATACATAGCAGCTCTTTTTGTGGTGGCAAAGAATTGGAAATTGAGAGGATGCCCATCAATTGGGGAATGGCTGGGCAAGTTGTGGTATATGAATGTAATGGAATACTATTGCGCTATAAGAAATGATGAACAGGCTGACTTCAGAAAAACCTAGAAAGACTTATATGGTCTGATGCAGAGCAAAGTGAGTAGAACCAAGAGGACTTTGTACGCAATAACAGCCATGTTATGCAATGACTAATATTGTTAAACTGAACCCTTCTCAGCATTATGAGGATCTAAGACATCTCCAGAGGCCTTGGGATGGTAAAGGCTGTCCACATCCAAAGAAAGAACTATGGAAGTCAAATTGCTCTCACTTATTTTTACCTTCTGTTGAGTTTTGTATCATCTTTCTGATGGTTCCTCCTATTGGTTTTAATTTTTACTTACAACTTCACTAATGTGAAAATACGTTTAATGGGTATGTAAATGTAAAGCCTATGTCAGATTGTGCACTGTCTTGGGGAGGGTGGGGGGGAGAAAAAGGAAGACAAATTTTCAACTCAAAAGCATATGGAAAAAAAAATAAAAAATAAAAAAGGAAATAAAAAAAAAAGAAAGATTATTATGGTGACAAGGTGCTTAAGACACAAACTCAAAGGAAGAAAATAACCCCAAGACATATATTGGTTGGTGTCCTTCATTCTCAAAGAAGACCAAAATAACATCACTATGCTAGAGTCAAGTTACAGTGTGTTCCACTACGGATGATGGTGAGCTCGGAATGTTCTATCACAGGTCAGCCACAAATAGTCCATGTGACATTTGAGGTAGATTCTCTAAATCTGCAAGTCTTATGTTTCTTTTGAGCTACTTCAATTTTGCTTTGCTCATAGAGCACAGCACCTTCTCTGATAAAGGATGCCATGCTAAGCTGTCCTATGCCACTGTCTCCCATGTCACACAATCAATTCCAAAGCTCTTGAGAGACCTTGAGAGGGTCCTTGTATCACTTCTTCTAACTTCCATTTGAGCATTTGCCCTGTGTGAGTTCTCCATAAAATAGTCTTTTTGGCAAGCATATGTTTTGCATTTGAACAATGTGGCCAGCCCATCAGAATTGTGCTCTCTGGAGTAGAGTTTGAATGCTTGGCAGTTTAGTTCGAGAAATGACCTCAGTGTCTGGTATCTTATCCTGCCAGGTGATCTTCAGAATCTTCTTAAAATAATTCAAATGGAAGTGATTCATTTTCCTGGCATGGCACTGACATACTGTCCAGGTTTCACAGGCATACAACAATGAGGGCAGCACAACGGCTCTGTAGACCTTCGGTTTGGTAGTCATTCTAACACCTCTTCTCTCCCACACTTTTCTTCAGAGCTTCCCAAACACTGAGCTAGCTCTGGTGATGTGTGTATCAACCTCATTATCAATGTGTACATCCCTGGAAAGTATACCACCAGGGTAAGCGAACTTATACACAGCATTAAAAACTTCTCCATTTGCTGTAATGGATAGTTCCAGGTTTGGAAAGTGTGGTGGTGGATGATGAAACACCTGTGTTTTCTTGGTGTTAACTGTTAGGCCAAAATTAGCACAAGCAGTAGAGAAACGATCCATACTTTGTTGTATATCTGCTTCAGAGGATGCATTGAGTGCACAATCATCTGCAAACAGAAAATCATGCACCAACACTCCCTCCACTTTGGTCTTTTCAAGTTGAAAAATTTACCATTAGTGCAGCAGCTGACCTTTATGCCAAGTTCGCCCTCATCAAAGGTGCTGGACAACTTGGCTAAAAAGTATGGGAGGAGCAGCTAGGTGGGGCAGTAGATAGAACACCAGCCCTGGATTCAGGAGGACCTGAGTTCAAATCCAGCCTCAGATACAACACTTACTAGCTGTGTGACCCTGGGCAAGTCATTTAACCCCAATTGTCTCACAAAAAAAAAAAAAGCATGGGAGCAAGCACATAGCTATGTTTCACTCCACTGGTGACTGGGAAAGCATGAGAGCATTGTCTATTATCCAAAACCTAGGCAAACAGGCCATCATGAAATTGACATACAATGTGGATGAACTTTTCTGGGCAACCAAATTTTGACATATTTTTCCTCACAACTGACAGTATTAAAGGCCTTGGTCAGATCTATAAACATTATGTACAGACCTCTGTTCTACTCCTAGCCTTTCTCCTGGAGTTGTCAGACAGCAAACACCATGTTGACTGTTCCTTGGCCCTTTCTGAAGCCATATTGGCTCTCAGGTGGATGACCATCTTCCAGGTGAAGGATCAGCCTCTTAAGGAGTTCTCTAGCAAGAATCTTGCTAGCAATAACTAAGAGAGACACCGCCTTGTGATTGTCACAGGACAATCTATTTCCTTTACCTTTATAGAAATGGACAATGGAAGCAAAACCTCAAGGAAAAACACTGATCTTAAAATAAGAATGGAAATGGAAGGAAAGAGGAATATCCCAGAGGAGAAAAGAGGGCAGGAAAATTTATTTCACATAATTGGAGTATACAAACAAGAAGGGAGGGATTCAGGAGGGGGAAGGGGTAGCAGACAGTACCTGAATCTCACTCTCATATGCACATAGAGTTAGGTACAGACATACATTTCACTACACAGGGAAACAGGATGGAAAGAGAAGGAAGAACATAGAATGAGAGGGTAGGCAGTTTAAGGGAAGAATTAGTCTTAAGTAAAACAAACTCATTTATAGCAGCTCTTTTTGCAGCAGTAAAGAATTGGAAATTGAGGGATTGCCTCAGTTTGAAATGAGGGAAACAAACCACTGGGGAATGGCTGAATAAGTTATGATATATAAATGTGATGAAATACTATTTTGCTAAACAAGCTGATGAAAGAAATGGTTTCAGAGAAACTTGAGAAGCCTTGTATGAACCAATGCAGAATGAACAGAAGCAAGAGAACAATTTTTATAGTAACATCAATATTGTAAACAAAAACAACTTTAAGACTTAGAAACTCTGATTAGTATAATGACCAACCACTATTCCAAAGGGCTCATAAAACATGCTATCTATGTCCTAATAAAGAGGTGTTGAATTCAGGGTGCAAACTGAAACATGTTTTGACATGGCCAATGCAGCAATTTGTTTTGTTTGATCATACATGTTTAAAATGGGGTTTTGATTTTCATTCTAATTTGGAGGGGGGACACAGTGCAAGGGAAAGAAGGTGGATTGTTATTGATTTTAAAAAATAAAATTTAAAGACAAAAAAAGAAAAAATGCACTAGGGATGCTGACAATAACAGAACCTACAAATCAGAGTAATGTCAATGTATAACTTACAATACGTCCATCTCCACTACCAATGTCTACTAGGGATCCACTTCTACATCGTAACATCTTCAGAACATTTTCAATCTGATTTGAAGTTGCAGGTACAAAAGGCAAACAAATCTTCCGGAAGGCTGGAGTTAAAAAAGGAGTAGCAACTGCATACACAGCTACTAATGTCCCACCAACTATCCCAGGGGCTAATAATCTCCAACTTCTTTTTTTCAAATTACTAGCATCAACATTTGTAGGCAAATCATGTTCTGTCAGTCTTCCTTCCTGAGATACTTCTGAAATTATAGGTATACCTAGAAAGAAACACCCCCAAAAAAAAATTATTACCAAGTCTGTAATGAAAAGAGTATTTGTTCTATTTAATATTTATCACTACCACCCTGGTCCACCTAAACTCAAACTCCCTTTCCAGGAACTGTGGGCTCTAATCAGTGAGTTTTAATCATATGTTGACCCAAACCTGGCTACCATGCCACTTTGGCCAGCTCCAAATCATGATGCCTCAATGTTCCCACTCCTCCCTCCATTTTCCCACTCTAGCTTCCTTGTATAGGTTCTCTTTCCTTATTACAATGTAGGCTTCTTTTTTTTTGCTGTCTTGTAGTTTTATCCCAAGTACTTAACAAAGTGCCTAGTATATAGTAAACACTTAAAAATTCCTTCTTTCATTTCTTCATTTGATCATTTTAAAAGAAGCACAATTCAGCTGTATAGTCTTATTTCAAATGTAGGAGTTCAAACAAAGGTCATATATTTCACTAAGAAAATATTAAACTCTCTTGAAAAATATTATTCAATACTAATTGAATACAAAAATCTGTTTCTTCTAGCATAAGGTTGTTTTGTTGTCACCAAAGCTATTTTTAACTGACAATTTATTCACACCTCGATGGTTATTTATGAGTTCAATATCCACAAACACAAATATAGGTTTAGAACATTAATGTCATACATTTATAGTCAAAACAAAATCCTCAGATTTGACTAATCATTAAAGTATTCTTATAAATTTAATATTATCTCAGCTTCATGTAAAGTGTGTGGGATGTGGGATGGACTCATCAAAATAGAGCTTATTTGATCATGGTTGCACAAGCAAAACAAAAGAATAATTCAAGACATACACATCAAGTCTTAAAAGAATACACTACAACCCATAAAAAGTCATAAATCAGTATGTGAAATTTTATAGCTAGTCCAGGAAGAAACAAATAATTTAAGGTAAATGTTCTCAACTCTGACCTGAATGCTTATAGCACATCAAGCACAATATATTCATTCATTATTTCCAAGGAAATAAAAAAGTAGTTTTGAGTCCTACAAATACAGCAACATCTTTTCAAAATAATTCACATGGATGTCTTGCATTCCATTCAATTTCAATTCAATTCATCATATATTTGGTGAGAGCCTAATACATAAAAGGTATTGTGTTAGGGATACAAAGGCAAAAATAAAGCCATCCAGGATCTCAAGGTGTTTACTTTCTAATTTACAGCTCAATAAATTAAATGCACAGACAGATGGGAGCATGGGAGAATTCAACAAAATGCTCTAGTAAAATCAGAGGAGAGAGAATGCAGGGTGCAAAGATATTTGGGAATCAGGGATAACTTCATGGAGGAAAAAACACCAAAGTTGGACCTTGAAGGAAGCTAAGGACAGGTAAAGGGAAGAACATATACTCCAGGAATGAGAGACAGATTGTACAGATATTCTGAAGATGCTAAGTAGAGAAAGCAGCCAATAGTCCAGTGCAGCTGAAATGCAGAGTTCACAAAGCAGAGCAGTATAAGCAAAAACTAAAAAAGGCTGGCTGCAGCCAAATTACAGAAGGTTTTAAATGACAACTTAAGGAATTTATATTAATCCTAGAAGCAAGGGGAACCCCTGAAGGTTTTTGAAGAGACAAAGACATGATCAAGCCTGTATCTTATGAAGATTATTTTGACAGCTATGCAATGGATGGAGAGAAGGCAGAAAGACTAAGAAGCAAGTACATGGAAAAAGTGATGACAGCTTAACTAAAGTAGTAGTAGTGTAAGTAAAAAAGGGGACAGATGAAAGGTATGGAGGTAGAAATGGCAAACGTTTACACTAATGGGATATGGGAGAGGTAAGGGAGAAGAAAGAATAACAGAGAGGTTACAACCCTGAGCAATTGGGTAGATGATAGTCTCCACCCAAAGTTTATCTTGCATTTGCTTTGTATGTATCTTCTATTTATATATAAACTTACATGTAAGAAATCCTATTATAATGTAAGCTAATTGAAGTAAGGGACTGGTTTGCTGTTGGTTTTGTATCTTCAGCACTTAATACAGTGCCCAGAATGTAGTAAGTGCTTAATATTTATTGATCAAAAGAAATAGTTTGCATGTATGTAATATCTATATACATAATATATGTAAATATATATAAATTATTCTTCATATAGTACTTTTATGATAGCAAAGAGCTGATTAAGAAGTGAGTGCCTATAGACTGGGGGAATGGCTATGTCATATGAATATCATAGAATATCACTGTGTGGGTAAGAAATTATGAATTTGAGGAACTGAACGAAACAAGCAAAACCAAGATAACAATATATACAATAAACAATGTAAATGAATTAGACAGTAAAATGAAACTGAACTCTGGGTAATTATTAATTATAATGATGAATCTTAGTCCCAGAGACAAGATAATAAAATAACATATGCCTCCCACTTCTCTCAGCAGTGAGGTGTAGGACTACTGTTTGCCCTTTCAGACACAATCATTGTATCATTGGTTTTACTTAAGTGTTTTGTTTCAAGGAAAGGTTCAAAGCTGGACAAAGAGTAGCTATATCAAGAGACAACTATGTCATAAAAAGAATAGGTAACAAAAACATATTTTTAAAAACAAAAATAAGAAAATTTGGGCAAGTGTAAGGTAAAGCTTGATGATTTCAGACATATAATTATAGATCTAGAGTTGAAAGGGACCTCAGACATCATCATTTTATAAATAAGACAAGAAGGCTTAGCTTTAGGAAGAAAAGCCACCAGATAGAGCTGTGAACCAATCCAATTCTTTCAGAAAATAAAAAGGGAGAAGAGCCCGTTCCTCTAAGAATGAAGCAAAGGAAGAAAGACAGGTGAATACATATCAAGGCTGCGTTACAGAGTAGGAAAAATGAGTAGCTAATGACAAGACACCTCATTTTTTCAGTGGGTCTTGGGGACAAGAAGAGAGAACAGGTTTGGAACATCCACTGTAAGGAATAAAAGATAACCTCAAAAACGAATAAAAACTGTTGTGCAACAATGAAGTCCAAGGTGAGATTAAATAACAAATTTATAGTAGATTCAGCTAACAGGACTACATGCAATCGGCAACTCAGGAATTGATGCAGAGAAGGTAGATGATAGAGTTGAGGACCGGAAATATGTGGAAAGCAGGGAATAAGAGAGCAAAGGAGAAGGTCAGCACCACACACTTGTTCATTTTCTCAAAAAAGGGAAGGAGGTCCCCTCTCCAGGACAGCACACAATCTGATATAGGCTATACATGTACTTTCCTATTAAACATATTTTCACATTAATCATTGCACATTTCACCTACTCTTTGCTATAGCCACGATGGCCAACCAACGCACTGGCAAATGGAATGTTTCCATCTCTAGTTCCCCTTCCACCATTATGATCCTATAGCATCCTTCAGGGCTCAGCTCCAGGTACCTTTCTTGATCCTTGTCTCCCTCCAAGAATGTTAATGCCCTCTTCCCTCTCAAATAACTGTAGGTATGCATCTCTATGTACCTCTTGTATACCCTTCCCATTGGAATTGAGGGCTGGAATTTTTCCACAGTCCAACCCAGAGCCTTGAACACAGTACGCACTTAATAAGTACTTCTCAGTTGGAACTGGAATCCCACACCTGAGAAGAAACTAAACAGAAGGCTAGAAGTACCCTAGGGAGCCCCCACCTAGGTGAGGGAAAGGTCTTAAAAGGAAAAAGCCCCTTTAAACCCCAGGTCCCTGGAATGTCTAATTTCAGCTTTCTCTTCTTCATTATGAACTTAATAATTTTTAATAAAATTTATTTATTTAGTTCTTTTCAGCATTCATTTTTATAAGACTTTGAACTGCACATTTTTCTCCCTCCCCTCCCCCTTCCCCAAGACAGCAAGCAATCTGATATAGGTTACACATGTACAATCATATTAAACATATTTCCACATTAGTCATGTTGTAAAAGAAGAATCGGAACAAAAGGGGAAAACCACAAGAAAGAAAGAAAAAAAAAACAGGATGCTTTGATCAGCATTCAGAACTCCATAGTTCTTTCTCTGGATGTGAATAGCATTTTCCATCATGAGTCTTTCGGAGTTGTCTTAGATCATTGTATTGCTGCAAAGAGCCAAGTCTATGAAAGTTGATCATCGCACAATGTTGCTGTTACTATGTACAATGTTCTCTGGGTTCTGCTCGCTTCATTCAGCATCCTCTGAACTTAATAATTATCAACAACTACAAGCACTTGACATCCAAAGAATAAAAACAATCATATGGGGGGGGGGGGAAGGAGGTGAATTTTCATAGTTAAAATGGGTGAGATTTAAAAGGAATAAGATGTTGGGAGTAGCATTTTAAGGAATAAGTGTTGTGTCTTGATAGATGACTGCCCTGAATAATTAGTGTTAATGAATAGAAATTCTATTGGGTAGGGAAGGTGGGGGTGGGGGGATGGGAGGCAGACAGCACAGAATCTCTAAGACCTGGTAGAAAGGTTTAATTTCTTTTGGTATTGATTCTGTAAACTATCTATAGCATTAATAGAATCATAAATTCACTTTAAATAACAGCATCCAAAACTTACATACTTTAGTAGGTCTGTGTTGCCACTGTAACTGTCTTCTCTGCTGCTGACACTACCTGTCACTACAGGTACCTGTATATCTGTGGTATACAATTTCCCCTATCCCTTCATCCTTCCACTGCATTACAGATAGATAGCATCAATGTCCAACAATGATATATATGCTCAACAAACAACATTTTGATGCATTAACAAAGCCTAATAAAGATCCCAGCTGTCAGGTAAATAAGTAAATCACTAGGTAGGAAGAAAGCCCAAGTATAATCTGACAATTTGATAATCATTGTCAGACACCAGAAAGCTGGAAAAAAAACTGGTACTAATACTTTTATCACACATGGGCAGCACTTAATTCTTTTAAAATTCTTTCACATAAATTATTGCGTTTGGACATTGACATGAATTTCCATTGATAAATAAGGATTGGTCAATTCAATTCTTAGATTTATGTCCTATCTTTTTTTTTTTTAAGGCAATTGGGGTTAAGTGACTTGCCCAGGGTCACACAGTTAGTAAGTTTCAAATGTTTGGTCTGAGGCCACATTTGAACTCAGGTCCTCCTGACTTCAGGGCTGGTGCTCTATCCACTGTGCCACCTAGTTGTCCCTATGTCCTATCTTCTAAGAGTCATTTCAATTTAGCAAGTTATTTGCTGACTATCTGGTGTATCACTGGCATTCCAGGAGATACAAAGAATAGTCAAGCAGTCCTTTCTACATCCCTAGAAACAACAGAATGAATTGAAAGGAAGAGAAATTTAAATCAGAAAGACCAGTTAGGAGATTAACTGTAATACTAACTAATGACCTTTCTCCTCAAACCTTCATATAGTACTCTATTTCATATCTCTCTAATACACATCATATAATGCTTTTTGTTAAAGCAATATATCTTTTTGTCTTATTCTTCTACTAAACTTTAAGCTCCATGAGGAAAGGGCAGGTTTATTTAAACTTTTTATGTCTCCCAGAATTTAACACATAACTGCACACAGCAGGTAATGTTTACTGAACATTGGTAAATGATGCTGAATGAATCTCAAATTTAAGTAACATAAAATCAATCAGTAAGTATAAAGAATATTGGCAACATAGAGCACAATCAGAAAGGGTGGTAAGACAGCTGTTTTCAAGTATCTTAAAGGATATACAAAAGGAATCACTCTTGTCCTGGCTGGTCCCACACAGTAGAAATAGGAGCAATGAAATGGAAGATTTAGCAAAGAGGCAGATTTAGTATTAATATAAGAAAAAACTTCTCCCTAAATTAGAGTTGTCCAAAAACAAAATGGATGTCTGAAGAAGCAGTTATAGCCACATAAATAAAAGTCTCCATTAGAATTTGAATGACTATGGGGCAGGTAGGTGGCACAGTGGATAGAGCACCAGCCTTGGAGTCAAGAGGACCTGAGTTCAAATTCGGGCTCAGACACATAACACTTACTAGCTGGGTGACCTGGGACAAGTCACTTAACCCCATTGCCTAGCCAAAGAAAACAAAACAAAACTAAACAGAAGTTGAGTGATCCATCACATCTATCACATTGGCCAACATGTCGAAACAGGAAAATGATAAATGTTGGAGGTAGTGTGGGAAATTGGAATACTAATGCATTGTTGGTGGAGTTGTGAAATGATCCAACCATTTTAGAGAGCAATTTGGATCTATGCCCAAAGGGCCCAAAGAGATTATAAAAATGGGAAAAGGACCCACATGCACAAAAATATTTATAGCAGCTCTTTCTGTAATGGTGAAGAATTGGAAATTGAGGGGATGCCCATCAATTGGGGAATGGCTGAACAAGTTGTGGTATATGAATATAATGGAATACTATTGTGCTGTAAGAAATGATGAGCAAGTGGACTTCAGAAAAACCTGGAAAGACTTATATGGACTGACACTGAGTGAAATGACCAGAACCAGGAGAATGTTGCACACAGTAACAGCCACATTGTGAGATGACTAACTTTGATAGACTTAGCTCTTCTCAGCAATGACAAGGATCTAAGACACCTCCAAAAGCCCCATGACGGGAAATGCTATCCATGTCCAGAGAAAGAACTATGGAGTTCAAATGCAGATCAAATCATACTATCTTTTCTTTTTTATCTTCTGTTTTGTTTTGTTTCTTATTTCTTATAATTCCTCCTATTGGTGCTAATTCTTCTTTACAACATGACTAATGTAAAAATGTATAATAGGAATGTATATGTATAGCCTATATCTGATTGCACACCATCTTGGAGAGGGAGGCAGAAAGGGGGGGAGAAAATTTAAAACTCAAAAGTTTATGTAAGTGAATACTGAAAACTAAAAATAAATTACTAAAAAATAAACATAAAAAATAAATTTTAAAAAAAGAAGTGGAGTGACCACTTATCAGAATATTTATTATAGCAGGAACTTCTATTCTGGACTAGAAGAACACTGAAATTTCTTTCAATTCAGATTTCTGAAATTTTGTGAACTTTCTGCTATTATCAACTAACTGAAGAGTTATCCCTCAAGGTAATCATATCTAACCTTAAGCCACCACTTTGTCTAAGAAAATTCTAGACTCTAAAGTCAATGATTCTGTTTTTTACCTGTGAACGAGGTTCACAAACAATACAAAGGTGCTTTCATTTGTAATATCTTACTTGATTGGTAGGGAACTAGGCCAAAGTTTTACATTCACATCAGTTGTTGATGCTGAGACAAACAACACAGAAGGGATTAAAAGACACCAAGCTAGCAACATTACCTACCTTCTCTCAGATTTCTCCCTGAAGTTTATACCTGTCTTGCACTTTTCTTTGACTCCCTTACAGCAATATCTTTTCTCAACTGTGAACTCCTTGAGAGTGGGGTCAGTGTCTTATCTATTTCAGTATTTACCAGAGCCTTGAAGCACCGTGCCTGGCACATATTAGGGGCTTAATAAATAATTGTTCAATAAATCAACAATCAAGAAGTTTTCAAGGTTTCTTATGAGTGAGCTCTCCAAGTGTATTTTTTTCAATGATCAAAAGTCCACCTTTTCTCCCTCCCACCACTCCCCATCCCTACCCCAATGAAAAAGAAAAACAAAACCTTTGTAACAAATATACATAGTTAAGCAAAATAAATTCCTGCACTATGTCCAAAAATATATATGTTCCTTTACATTTCAATAGTGTTATACCCCTTTATTTGGACCACCTCTTTGCATTCATCATATTCTACCTTGTGGCACTTTTGTTCACTCAGAAATGTTTGGCAAGGTGCCTGCTGTTTAGAAAGTAATGTACTTGGTGACAGGAGAAATATGAAGTTTAGATAAAATATCCTTCATCAAGCTTACAATTTAGAGTACACGTTTGTGTTGCCTGTTAAGAACCTAAGTTCCTTGATGGCAGGTACACTATGTTGTTTTTCATCTCTGAATCCCTAATACAAGACAATACTTAAGAATTTGCCAAATATACCAATTCACCAAATTTAATGTTAGCTATTTCTTAAGACTGATCCAAGGAATAAAGATGTTGTCCTTAGAAGTATAATCAAAGAGTTTTCCGAAAGAGATCTTGTTATTCAAAGATATATGGAAATAATTCCCAAGGTCAGCCATATTTTAACAACACTTAACAAAGAATATTTTGCCATGATTTGATGATTTTGCCTGCAGCAGTTGTTGGGGGGAGGGGAGAGATAAGTATGCCAAAAGCTTGTAGTCCTTTGATTAGTGCTCATCTGGAATGTATATCTTAATAAATTTGTGGAGGAATCAATACGGAAAATGCTCAAACAAGTTCTACATCCCAGAATAGGTGTTTTCATATATATGGGGATAATGCTTACTATTGAGCTTTACGGAGACAAAATACTAGCCAAGTGATTTAATGATCTTCCTGTCTTTTCCCCATCTTCATTATTTCATATACAGCATTTTAACAAACAAGTCTCTCATGCATGTTATTATAGCTATTCGTATATGGTGTTCCAGAAGTCTTAGCGGAATTTTGAACTATTAGAGCTTAAAACAAAAGCTTTAAAAAAGCTCAACTTAAACTTTTTAAGTCTTAATGCAAGTTTCTTAAAATTGTAGTAAGACCTTTGGAACACCCTAGAGATATTAAATAACCCTAATAGCCTATTACTATTAATGACTGTGCCATAAGAAATGAAGAATGATGAAGAAACAGAATCATGAGAAGATTTATGTGAATTCATCTCTGCCTCCTGGTTTCCCTGGCTTCCTTCAAGTCCCTGCTAAAAGCTTACCTTCTAAAGGAACCCTTTTCCAATCCCTTTTAATTCCAGTGCCTTCTATCTGTTGATTATTTCCTGGTTTTCCCATCTATAGCTTGTTTGTTCAGAGTTTTTTGCAAGTTATCTTCCCCATTAGACTGCTAGCTCCTTCTGGGTACTTCTGGTCCTTTGCCTTTCCTCTGTAACTCCAGAGCCCAGCGTAGTGTCTGACACATAGTAGGAGGTTAATGTTTACTAGGTAAAATAGTACTAAAGGAGAGGCAGGAAAAAAACACACAATGACTACAGACAAGTAAACAGAGAACAATAAAACAATTGGTTCTGAATACTGTGAAATTATGATAACCAAGTTTGGCCCTTAACAAAAAAGAGAAATGAGAAGGTACTTCCCCAAACCTTCTTTGTAGAGGGAGGGAGTTATGATTCTGAAGCATTGCATATAATGCTATCCTTTTTCAACATATTGGTTAGTTCTAAACAGTTTTTCCCCTCTCTTCCTTATTTTTTTTATTATGAGGATTGGCTCTCTGGGAGCAGTAAGAGGAAGGAATTCAGTGGAAAATACATGCTATATAAAAACAAAAGATAGAAATGAAATTTTAATTTTTAAAAATGTTTGCAATATTGAACTGAATTATAACAAGCAGAGTGGAAGGTGGGAATTAAGGGCCATTGGGGCCATGTCAATAGGGATGCAAACCTAAGATTCACAAAAGGGATCAAATATGTCCTGGACATCAAGACATCTTGATGAACATGCTCTCCTAGGCTGACTCTATGACTAACCTTTTAGGGATACGACTTACCTACAATTCAAACCTTCTCTGACCCTGTGGAAATTCTGTTTATTAAGAGACATAAAAAGCATCAAAGTATATACTTCATTTCAATTCAATAAACATTAAGTATCCATTATTTATAGTCTTCTGTCTTATGACACAATTTGACCCACTCCTGGAAGCTGTGCTTCTTAAGTTGAGGGCCTTCTTGCCTGAGCACCAAGCTCTGAATCATTATCATTTTACAGCTTTAGCTACCAGCGTGCCACTCAGGAGGCACTTAGGCTAACTGACTGACTGACTGACTGACTGACTTCCACAGGAATTCTAGGACAGAGGTTCCTAACTTTTTTTTGTCATGGATCCTTAGTAACTGGTAATGCCCTTGGACCCCTTCTCAAGAACATAAAATACATGGGATTACAAAGGAAGCCAATCATACTGAACATTACAAATACACACACACACACACACATTTTAAACTAAAGGGTCTCTGAGGCTCCATAGTGAGGAAGCTAGGACTAAGACCCAAACATTCTCCTGACTTCCAGTCCAAAGCTCTTTTCAAATATGTTTTATCACTTAAAACCACTCAAAAGTGCCAAACTAAAAACCACCTTGGACTGTGGGATACTGTGATTTCTACTTCATTACTCGTGAATTCATTGAAAATGTAAATTCACAGTAATTCGCCACTAATGAGACTATTAAGCCACCCTAAAGTCATAAACATGAAATAATCAACACTGACCCTAAAACTTTTCAAAAATGGATCACTCTGAAGAACAGGTTTGGGGGCAGCTAGGTGGCACAGTAGATAAAGCCGGCCCTGAAGTCAGGAGAACCTGAGCTCAAATGCGGACTCAGACCAAACACTTGACACTTACTAGTTGTGTGACCCTGGGCAAGTCACTTAACCCGAATTGCCTAAAAACACACCCACAGAACAGGCTTGTAAGACAGCAGCCTCAGGATGCTGGCTTCACAGGGTGGAGGCGGCCCCGGGCAAGCATGCCCTCTGCCCCAGAAAGCGGTTTGATTTCATCTCACCAACGTAAAAATCGAGAGGCCAGTCACTACGGGGCCCAGCTCCATCGGTTAACGAGCATTTATTAAGCGCTTACAAAATACCAGTGACTGGGCTAAGCTCTGCAGATACCAAGGAAGACAAAAAACACCTAAAACATTAAGTGCCTAATATGTGCCAAGCACTACACTAAGGGAATGCAAACTGGGCAAAAGACCGTCCCTGCCCACATGGAGCTCACAATCTAACGGGGGAGACAACATACAAATATTTACACACGAGCTCTATGCGGAATAAATAGTAAATAATTAACACAGAGAAGGCACTAGAATTAAAAGGGCACAGGCACAGCATCCTGTACATAGTAAACGCCTAGTAAATATTTCTGGACCCAGTGAAAGTCTCTGCCCTCATCAGAGTCACACTCCAACTGAGAAGTGTTAATAATAAATGCTTGTACTTCAGATTTGCGCAGTGAGGACGGGAGATATCGGAGCACGGAGGCTGGGAATCGGGCAGGTGACTTGAGAGTCAAAACCCACTGGCTCAGAGGATGCCGGGAGTTTACACGTTAATGGGTTAGACTTCCCCCCTCCCCACTCCCCGCTGCCGACCCCGAGCCCAACCCAGTCCAGGAACGTTAACGGCCGAGCGCGCTCCCAACTGCCAGGACCTGCGGCGCGCGCCCAGAGGGGAGCGGGAGCCTCGACCCCGCTCCCCGCCCCCGCCCCCAAGCACAAGAGGGCGCCGCCACACTCGCAGCCAAAGTTGCACGGAGCCACCCCATCTTCCTAGACTCCCTCCCGCCGGCAGTGAGGACGCACACGCCTGAAGCAACCCGCAGTCCCTAGTTACTGGCCTGACCTCCTCCTCCTCCTTCCCCCATCGCGAGAACTCCGGCAGCTGCTAGAGGGGGCATGACCATCTCCACGGGATAGGTAGGGGAGGAGGAATAGGAAGAAGCTTCTTTCGAAGAGACAACCTTTTTATTCTGCCTCGGTATCCAGAAATTTCGGGACGCTTTTAGTTTTAGGGCGAAATAAAACACTTTCTCTCTTGGGAAAATCTGCGTGCAGAGGAAGAAATTCCAATCAGTCTTTGGCAGCAGTCCTCATACTACTCCCCCCCGCCATTTTCTACATAATGGTTGTCTCGGAGGGCGGCTGATTCCAGAAAGTGCTACCTGGCGTGAAATTAGTCTCAGTCGAAAAATAAATCGCAGAGAGATAACTGCGCCTGCGCGCAGGGCTGAAACGTCGTCAGTCGCTAGAGCAAGCGGTGGTTTCCCTCCCACTTAGTTCGTCTCCGCCGGTTGCTGGGAGGGATCCCTTCTAGCTGGACCATGTCTTCCATGGGGACTCTGGCATTCGACGAATATGGCCGTCCTTTTCTCATCATCAAGGACCAAGAGCGCAAGTCTCGCCTTATGGGCCTGGAGGCCCTCAAGGTAACGGATTCCGGAGTCTTTGGTTCCCGAAGAACTGGAGGCCCCGGGAGCCGGCGTCTCCTGCGCGTGCGTGAGGGCTGGGGAAGGGTTCCGCCATGTGCTCTCGGAAAGGACCGAGAAATTCTCCTTCTGCCCGGTTCCCATTGAGCTCCATACCCCACTCAAGGCACACGCGTGACCCTCCCCCCGACCTCCCGGAAGAAGAGCTTCCGTGGGCCTTCTGAACTGCGAGAGCATAGTTGTTACCCTGCGTTTATTGGGGATGGTGCAGTTTGGAAGCCAATGTATTGAATTGTGTCTAAAAGAGAATAGCACTTCCGTCCAGGGGACTTAGGCCTTCCACTGACCCAGTTTTTGTATCTTTTTATGTCCTTTACAGGGTGTATCTAACACCTTAAAACTGCAGTAAGACTGTAGGGGTACCTTCTAAATAAAGATTAATTGTAGATTTGCTACTTATTCCACAGATAACTCTGATCATTTAGCCGAAACAGTAGCTTCTGGGCGCCCTCCCCTCCATCCCACTAGTGTACAAGTGTGGTTTATTCACTCTTTATTTCAGTACCTTAGAAATATGGTAAATAAAACAAGCTCCTTGGCCTTGGGGAGTGGATCTCCTGTAATGGAGCGGAAAAGCGCGCGCGTGTGTATGTGTGTGTGTGTATAAGTATAATATAATATTAAGCAGGATGTGATACATGCTGCAGGCTTCCTGGCTTTAGGAATTTAATAAACTCTTTTTGTCTTTTGTAATAGAGGGAGAACTTATGGATGAGGTAAAGTTTTTGACATGGGGCTTTTAAAGAATGGATAAGATTTAAGCAAGGTGTACAGAGAAGAACATAAACTAAGTCAGGGAAGCAACAAAGAGCATCTTCAAGGAACAAGGAGTTGACTTGTTTGAAGGGATAGACCATAAGGGAGTGGGAGGGTGTAAGTCTGGAAAAGTAGGTTAGGACCAGACGGTAGAACTTTGAATGTGCAGGTAAGGAGTTAGGACTTAGCTTGTTAGGTTTTCAGAAAGTATATTATGGATAATTTTGGTATTGTACACTGAAGGCAGGAAAAAGCTCTCAGGAAGCCGATTCATTTCTCTGGGTGAGAAAGTATAAGAATCTGGATTAAAGTATTGGAAATAGGAATAGGAAAGGAGATGGTAGCAGACAAGCTGTTGGCTTTTTAATTCGCCACGATTGCAGCTTTAAAAAGAAGAGATTGGCTCTGCCCCCTTGTCTTGAAATTAAGTGCATTTGGATGAAAAATTGAATTTACTTTGTATGATGTTGCTTACCTAATGCCATCATACGTGCAAGGTAGTTGTTGGATTTAGCAGGAGCTTTTAAAAAGTTGAATCTTGACTTGGAAGGCAGAAGAGAGCTTATATTCAGGATGGGCTGAGTTCAGGTTTTACACATAGTATAACCTTACTTTAAAAATACCCCTGTTGGATAATTCTGGACTTTAAGAATATTTTTTGTTTTAATTTTCCTTTGGAGATGGTTTTTTATAAAAAGAAATGGTGAAATTCTTTGAGTGAAAGAAGTTAACTTGGGCAAATTCCGTTGTGGAGTAGGAGCTTGAGAAAAATTCATGTTTAAAAAATAGTTTCTTTGTGTCTTTAGTATTAGGTACAGTGTTAAGGTAAATTTTAAGGATTTTATGTATATTTTCACAGCTCTGACTGTCTTTCAACCTGTATACCACTGACTTGTCTACCTTCAGTTCTAACAATGCTTTTGGATTCTGTTGACCTTTAATTAAGCTTGATACTCTAAGCACCTAACCCATTTCAGCAATTCTTCAGGCTATTAGAGTAGGCTGGGGCCCAAACAGTAAGGCAGTAAGTGTGGGCTAGGTTGACTCAATAGATAAAGAGTGCCAGGCCTGAAAAGTCAGTCCAGTCAGTTAGTCAATAAGTATTTCTTAATTAACTTATTAATTAAGCACCTTTTGGTTGAGTCTGACTATTTGTGACCCCTTTTAGGGTTTTCTTGGCAAAGACATTGAAACAGTTTCCCATTTCCTTCTTTAGTTCACT